GATGGAGCTGAGTCTGTGGGTCTAGGTCTGAGTCCTGTGATGGTGAACATGAGGAGAGGCCATTAGAGCTGCAACAGAGGCAGAAGAATGAAGAGGGGCCTTGAGTGTTATTGATCCATCAGGTCTGGGTGGGGAAGGCACTCTGACTGGAATGTGATGATGATGATGATGATGATGATGAGGGCGTGTCTTTCACTGCATCACTTAAAAACAGGATGTAGCCATGGTGTCTGGACTAAAGCATTAAATCATACAACTGTAAACTGGAGCAGAAGAAAGTGTTTGTATTCTGCTGTTTTTCTTTTTTAGTTTCAAAATATCTCACTGTATATAAACATAAAGTCAGAAAACAATAAACTGATGACAAAGACTGGAGTCTGTAGGTGGAAACTTGATTGACTCACTAGTTAATGAGGCAAACATGCCCCTGCTGGTCAGTATTGGCACTGCATGAGTGACTTTCACATGTAGTTTGTGCCGACAACAAACACCAATGGTGTAGTACTGAAGTCCAGGATTTGGACTCAAATCTGATACCTGTTCAGATTTATATCAGTGACAGCAAGGTGATGGCAATGTGGAGTGTGACAGAGTGAAAACAATTTAAGGTAAGAACAATGATATTTGTCTGTGCTCTTCTTCAGTGGTGTTCTGGAGGATGACCTTTGACACCAGATCATAACCTGCTTCTTGGTCCGGTCTAAGGACTGAAATCCACTTCCTTTGTGTTACAATGACTAAACCAGTTGCTTTAGTCATTGTAACATGTTTCGAACCTAGTTTAGATAAAACTACCTTTTCCACCGTTGACAGAAGCGAGATTCGCTGCTCAGAGCTGTAGTATTAAATAGTTTTTATTCTCAGGAGTAATGTACAAGTCACACACACACGTAAACATAACAACCTGCAGCATCTGGCCCAAACAATTTATATAAAAGCTCAGACAAAAATAAGAACAATGAGCAACAAACTGAATCCTAACTTCACAACTTACCTTGATGGAAAAAACATAAAAGAAAAATAACAAAACAATTGAATTGAATTAAAAAAAAGGAAATAAATACTGATTTCACAACTTATACTCTAACTATAAATAACTACGTAGTAAAAAAGTAACTAATGCTCCAGACCATCAAGCTCCAACCTGAAAACAGAATACCAACATCAACGGAGGAGTTGATTTCAAGATATTTTTGTCCAAATATGTCTTTACGTCAGGACATGGACTGCATTCTAAGATGAAGCCAAGTCATAGGAAAAATGAGTGCAGTGGATGTCAGTGAAGACATGTCCAAATAAGGGTGAGGCGGATGTTCAAAGGCTGACGGGTATTTTGACAGAAATGGCTTCAAAATAGGGAGAAGACAGGAAGTATGAAAAAAAAAAGGTTTCCACAGGATTTATCTGAACATCCCATCATCAGGCAGGATGAAGATGCCTGGCAGAGGGGAGGATGTTAATAGTTGGTTTGTGACTGCAGACCTGCACCATGTAAAAACGGGGCAAACAGGAGGTTGTGCTTTCCCCAGAGTCACAGGCAGGGGGAGCTGCAGCGGATAAAATACCCTTTTTGCTTCCTTGTCAATGCCAGGAAGCAAAACGACCTGCCCTCTGGCCTTCGTCTCCTCAGTCCTTTCTTACCCTCCTCTTTCTCACTCCTTGTTTTTGGTTCTCGTCACTGGTGGGTTCCTCCTTTAGCTGCAGGACCAGGGTTCAAGAAAGAAACAGTATTAATAAGACAAAGTTCTCTCACCGTTCTCTCATCTCATCAAGTCAAAACAACTTTAATTGATGTGAACAAAAAGCTGTTTGGTTGAAGGTGAATCATATCCACAGCTGAGGTCTGAAGAGTACTCTGCACTAGAGTCCAGGTCCTGGATCAGATCAAGTAGAACGGATCTTTAGATCATTTTTTAAATAAATAACCTTCAGTTACAAGAGAAAAAATGTAAAATAATATTTCGATGACTTGTGAGTTCCAACGGTTCCAGAAGGTAAACAGAACATCAAAGTGTGGGATTAAACAACAGAACCAACATAAACTTTATAAATAAAATTCTTAGGACTTGTTCTTGTGTTTTCCTAAACAAGACAGAACCTGAGGGGGTCAAACAGTCAAGAAGACTTCATACTGAACACCAACCTCATCAGATGCTGCTTCCTCTGGACCTGTGCTCTCCTCTTCTCCATTCTCCTCCACTGTCCCCTCATCGTCCTCCTTCTCATCCTCCTCTTCTTCCTCCTCCCCGTCATCTTCATCACCTTCCTTTAGATTTTCACCGTCCAGGTCTTCCTGCCCCTCCTTGGCTTCTTCTGTTGCTGAAGAACAGTGAGGATGAGGATGATGAAGAACAACCACAGCTTCATGTGACACCAACCCAGACTCACTTCATACTTACTTCTGGTTCTTACACAGTTTTTTTTTAAGTTCTTACCCTAAATCTAACACTGTGATGAAGACAATGCTGAGGTGAAGTCCATGTGATCAGTTCTTAAGATGGTGCCAAACATAAGGGAGGAAAAAGGAGCAGCTCACCTTCTCCTGGAGCGTCTCCCTCTGTGGCTGCCTCCTCTTCCTCCTCAGCTGCTGCCTCTCCTGTGTCGTCTTCTTCCTCCTCCTCCTCCTCTTCCTCCTCAGCCTGAGGAACTTCTATCTCCCTGTAAGCATACAGAGTGTCCTCTGTTTTCTGGAAAAGATGTAAAAAATAATGATTCACCAAGCTAGTCATGTCAGATAGTGATTCTGCAACCTGGTGTAGTATCTGTAGATACTGGTGGTGGCACAGACTAACTCAGAGAACTGGTCTGTCACCTTTATTTAGATTGTCTTGTGTTGATGAAGACAGCATCCTTACAAACCTGGACACTCACTGAAGGTAAGGTTGTCCAAGTTGAGGGTGGGAGTGAAAGTGAGGTTTGAGCAGAGATTGAACAACCAGAGCTGTGCACCGTGGCCCGGCAAACACAAACGGTAGTTTCACTTTCATGAGTCTGCGCTCATCTCTAAAGTCAGACCATGTAAACAGACTGGTCTGTGATTCCCATTATTTACTGAGATCTCGTTTGAGCCTGCAACAAGCTCATTTGACCAAAAAAATAAATGAAATTAATACAAATGAACAGTATTTCACCATCTATGATCCCTGACAGTCAGTCAATGCCACAGCTATACTCAGTTTCTCCAGTTGAGGATCTGCAGCTGTTACACAAGTTCCCTTCGACTGTTTTTAGTATTCCGCATGTAAAAAGAAAATCCTCAGAGCTAACAGTACTAATTGATCTTTGACTCTATTTTGAGTGCATTTCTGCCCCTATGGCACAGATACTGATCCCGAGTGCTGATCTGTTCATTTGGAAGAAATACATTACAAATACAAACATAGCGTAGTTCTTGCGGTACCTTTGGCCAACAGAAGAGTACTACCAGTCCTACAGGGAGGCCAATGGTCAGGATGTAGATCACCCAGAGCCATGGTCGTTCCTCTGCGGCTGTCATCAGCTGAGCAAAAATACCTGGCTGTTGTAAAAAAGGGGAGGTTATGTTTGCCTTAATCCAAATGTGCTAATACAGACTGTACCAATGTAAACTGAATGAATACCTCATTAGCACTGGCCACCAGTTTCTTCACCCCCCAGGTATCAGAAGCCCAGCGGTCGGCCACCTCTTTGTGGGAGGTAAGGATGAAGTTGTCAAAGTAGATGTCAGAGGTCATGGACCACAGCTCCATACCCAGGGCCTTGATAGGCATCATCCTGAACGGCTGCAGATCCTCAAAAAACTCAGGGTTGATAATCTTGTGTGGCTTCCAAACGCCCTTTGAAAAGAACAACATTTTATGATTTAGATGTATGGTCTAAATATTTTTTTTGTTATTTTTGTGGAGCAGTGAGATTTGTTTTCGTTTGTTTTTTTAATCACACACACTACCACTACAGTTGGGTCAGACACAAGACACAAGACAATGTGTAAAACAGAGCCAACACGTTGCAGTCATTTGCCTTTAGGAAAACCTAAAAACAGATGATGTAGAACTGGGTTTAACTTCACCTGTGGTTCTTTACACCACAGCGTCATGTTTCACTTGTTCATGTTCACCTCTGTACATTATCTTTTTACACATTTATCAGAACCATAGTCACCTGATAGTTGGGGTTGTCCACCAGCGGTGCTTTCCACTTTCCCTTGTACTTCGGATTATTGACCATGGGGCGTTTCCACTCCCCACAGCCGGGGGCAGTCTGACAGGCTGTGTTAGGAATCCGTGGAGCCTCCCATTCTCCATCCATCTCCTCATCCCTGCACAAACGACAACACAGCTGTGGGGCGGGGGCATTTCTTCTTGACAGATTACAACTGAGATTCTGACTGTGGGGTCGTTCATGGTGACGTTATATGAAAGAGTCAATATTCACCAGTCTTCTGGTTTCTCAGCATTAGGGTCAGGGACAAACTCTTCTTCATCATCCAGCCAGCCCTCAGGCTTCACAGCATCAGAATCCTCAATCTTAGCTGGAGCATCCTCATCCCTGAAAGACGCATCAGCACAGTCACCCAGGAGTTCTATTTGGAATGGATCATGGTTGTGTCGCGACTGTGTGTAAAGGTCAAAGTTCACCAGTCGTCAGGTTTCTCAGCCTCAATGTGTCGCGACTGTGTGTAAAGGTCACCAGTCGTCAGGTTTCTCAGCCTCAGGGTCGGGGATCTTGGCCCTCTCGTCCCAGTCCTTTGGCTTGGAATCATTTGGATCGTCTATTTCTCTGGGAGGGTTGACTGGTGGCACCACGTCATATAGAAGATTCCCACGACTCACACTGGACTGATCAATGAAGATCTCGTAGCTGTTGTCAGGATTGAGCACTAAGAAGCACAAAACACACACAGTCAGCAGATGAGCAGGATCTGGATCCTATAAAGTTTTAGTACAGAGACAGTGAGAAAACCGTGTCACCAAAAGCATGACAACCTAAACTTAAACGTCCCAAAGCATTTTGTTTAAGATATGTGTGAAAAATAACCTAAAAGACACACATGCACAAAATATGTCAACTGATTTTGGTGGGAATCACTCTGCTCTACCACTACAGGGAGAAAGGAAAAAGAGCTGTGGTTTTTCATCAACACACACCTAGTGTATAAAGGTGAGTCTTCTTGTCAGTGTAGAACTTCTTCAGGTCGACGTCTGCCCTCTTTGCGTGCTTTTCTTCAAAATCTTTGTTCAGAGGATTTTGGTGTCGGAAAATGAAGTGGAGTTTGTAGTTTTCTCCACATTTGTCAGGTCCAAACATAATGGTGTAGGGCGTCAGGGAATCAAACTGCTCCTAAAGCATGAAGTGTTCAAGTTTTAGAGGAAATCTAGTACAGAGAAGTAAAATCCAAACTTTCTTTTAAATAGCTATAGCTTTTACTGACCAGATTGAGGTCACCAGAGTCTGACAGCAGTTTGATGTACGCCCCCCCACAGTCAATGCCATCCTGGAAATTTACCTCATACCTGCAAAACACAATGATACAATTAAAACCCTGGACATTAGCTAATCCATCCACAGGCCTCTGAGTCTGAAGGAACAAAATGTGTCTGTGTGTGTGTTAAAAACTTACTGTATAATCAAAGGCTCATTCTCAAAGACAAAAGGTTTTTCCAGCATTGCAGAGATGCCGTGGTGTTTGGCCCGAGACTTAAGTACGAGGCCTTGGTCTCCAGAAACCTTGTTCTCCTTCAGCTGTTCAACAGCCCACTTTCCTACAGATTGAGGGTAAAATACCAGGGGGGTCAACAAACCCAACAATAACTACAGAAACAGAGGCTAACACATGGACAAGGCTCTCAAGACACTGACAATATCCATGTTCACAAAGAGGTTAGGACATCACATATAAGTCAACATTTGAGCTGAACATGCTCAAAGTATCATTGCAAGTTCAATGCAACATGAACTTGTTTCCAAAGAGAGGCTACAAATGTGATTTATTATTATTATTACTGCAGGTTTATGTAAGTGAGAGAGAAAAGGGACCTTTTAGCCTTAGCAGTTGGAAGTAGAGCAAATATTTGGACATCTGTGGAGTGAAGCCTACTTTAACATTCTCCAGATGCCCCTTATAGAAGTATTATAGAGTTTGTCACATGATCAGTTATACACGTGTAACTACAGTGAAATGTGGCCTATTAATGTATTTGACTATAAAACAAATGGTGGGTTTTAAGGTGAAGAATTACATCTAATATGTCCTAACAGGTACAATGTTTCCATTTTTGTATTTCGATGTTATTATTTACCTTTCCTGTATTTCTTGTATTAACAAAATAGTCCCAGCTATTATACAAACTTATTTTTTGTGTTTTTTCTTTTTCTTCTTCTTTTCTTTCTCAGATATGTTTTCCTACTGAATTGTCGTCTTGTTTTATCTGAACCGTTTGTTTCCTGTTCACGTGGTGTCTTTAGGCAGAGGAATACATGGAAACAAACCATCATATTTGTTGTGGCCGTCGGCTGCGTCCTCCTTCACTGACTTTGTCATCTGCCACCTGTAAAGATCAGCAAATTAAAAGCAGTTTTTAAGCACCAAGTCTGTTACTCTTTTGGACACTCAGTACTAGGGGACTGAGGCCCGTGTTTCCCTGCATCAGTACCACATCCTGGTAAAATTTACAGTACCTGTCCAGTGTACCATCGTCAAATGTTTCTGTGAAGTACACATGCCCAGTAGGAACAGGAGTTTTATATGTGACCTATGGAAAAATAAATACACTCTTGTTTGTGCTCTAAACAAACAGGATAAGGTCTACTGAAACATTTTAATTTTTGGTAAATGTACCACGAACACTGACCTGAAAGGAGACATTTTCATTTGGCTTCACAGCCTTTTCTCGGGCCTTGCCTTTGCCAGACTTCTTTTCAATCAATTTTGCCTTCTCGTCTTCCGCCATCAGAGCCTTTATGTCATCATCAGCTTCCACATCATCATCAACGTCTGCAACGACGACTTCTGAATCCTCTTCCTGTGCCGTCACTGCAGCCGCAGCCAGAAGGAACAGGAGCAACACCAACCACATCCAGCCCCTGTCCAGCTTCATCTGAAGGAGGAGAGGAGGAGATATTAGGGTTAGGGTCTGAAGCGAGAAAAATCTACAGACAAACTGCTGAATAACGCTATAGTCAACAGGTCAGTTACAACACTAACCAGTAATATTGATTTGCTATTGATCTGGCCCCATCTGCTCATGATTGTAAAAAAGCGTCAGTAAACGAAACACATTTCCACAAACACCACAGCTGCACACTTACCACTGTAATTGGTACGTGCATCTTTGTATACTATATGTTGTGTATACATTTGTGTGTATTCTTTGATATTTTAATAATTTCATAATTTCACTTGGTTACTTATTCATTTGTTGCATTTCTTCCTAGTATTTTTTAGTTTTTTTGAAAAGTGAATACAAAAACAAATGTCACTGTACTCAGTATAACTGTGTAGGTGAAGAATAAAGCTCTCAAATCTTGACTTACAGCACAATAAACAAGAAATTTAGTTTTAACTTACTTTAAACTAACCACGGACAACATGACTAAAAATATGTAGATGTTTTACACATTTTGTTGTCGGTCAACTGTCTAGAGGTGTTATAGTACGTTAGTAAATACAGTAAATTATACGTTATGTACATAAGTACATTATAGTAATAATATTTTGTTATACGATGAGATTTTTAACACAGGGAGATGTTTTTTTTAACACGGGGATATACATTTGTTTTTTGTGTACACCTAATGCAACATGAAAATAAATAAGAAGTATAATTTTTGATCTAGGAGCATTTACATGCAGTTAAATTAGACCAATGTATGGTTTTTATACTAAAATTCTGTATCTTCGATTGCACGTGAAGGCAACACGGGCTGCAGCGCCCCCATTTATTAGCATCAGCTAAAGCGATATTAACTACTGATACGCAACGGAAAATGCTATCACAACATAAGCACCGTTTTAATGACAACAATATATGTAGCTAAATATCAAAAACTCCGACGTCCAAACGGCATACTGTTTTTGTTTTTAGTGACGGTAGAATATTCTAGAAATGACAGAACTGTGTCCGTTGGCTGGGCTGAATTAGCAGTGATGTCGCAGAATAGAAGGAATGAATTAGTGAAATCAAACTCACCTTATTTGTAGGAACAAAATGAAATGAAATGAAACCTCAGTACCAACAGTAGTTTAGGTCCGACCAAACGTCTCAAGAAATAAGAAGATAAGGGTACTTTAAGGAACAAGTGCAGGAATAACAATGTATCTATCTAAATCTAGCGTTTTTGTTCTTTTATTCTTCCTCTTGGTTATTAATGGTTTTTATTTTCCTTCTTTGTGGTTTTAGGCCGACGCCTAATTATGAAGCAGACTCATACTGTATCAATACAAAGGATAAAAAAAAGATCTTTTATCATTTACCTTTTATCTTATTTACCCCTGACCCTGGCTCAAATGACTTTCGCACACCTCGAGATGTAAAAAATATTCAAGTAAATCAATGGTTTAAATTCTGGTGTGGTAATTTCTTGAAGAAAAAACAGAATCTGTAGACGGCACCGGCTGTACCCAAACTATCAGGTTGGTCGGTGTAACGGTTCTTGGTCAATAAGCGCAATTCTCAGCAAACGGAGCATGCTCAGAAGAACAGCGTGATGGTGCGTTCAAGTACCGTATATATATATATATATATATAACCAATAAATAATGGCATTTCATTCTTTCTTTCATCTAACATTTTCAATAATTTAAAAGATATCCATAATATTTTACACAATTTTATTTTACTTTCAAATTAACTATTGTTCAGTTAAATGTATAATATTTGTTATATTATATAACCGGTTGACAACGTACCAGTTGAAAACCGTACCGGTTGACTACGTACTGGTTACTGAATTCGGAAGTCGACGTCGGTTGCGCCGGACAATGATTTCAAAGTAAAACCTTGGTATTGGTTTAGTTATTCTATGCAATCATAGGTAATAGTAATTCTTAGCGGATATTGTGTTTGAAAAAAGAAACGTATTTTTTAAAACTTAATCATGCAAGGATGTTTTTATTGCAGAACTATTTTCGAACGCACGTTTATTGTTTTCCACGCATGCCAGCCCTTACTTTGAATTGAGGCATGCATTTCCGGGTTAACCATGATAAAACATTGATGGCGGTACCATGCGTGTAGAAGGAAGGATATTCTAGTATTTCATTTTGTTTTTTTGAAACAAACGCTGTATAATGAAAGAAACACCCCTGTCCAACTGTGAGCGAGACTTTCTGCTTAAAGCTATCGAGGAGAAAAAGGTGAGTTTCTATTACAAACTCACAAACGGACACATTCTGACATCTGGGAACTCACTTGTATTTGAACAGCAGTCTCAGAATAACATAACTGAATTTCTGAAAGGAGAGAAGGTCTAAAAAGGCTGCAAAAGAATATCGAAAATAAGATTATACAAAATTTGCGTTGCGATTTCTGCTTAAAAAGTAGAAAGTTCCTGAATACTTCTATGTTGTTGATTGCAAGTTTATACGGTTCCAAAAAAACAAAACAAACAAAAAAATAAAAAATAAAAAAAATAATGCGCTGTTCTGTCTCTGCAGCGTCTGGATGGACGACAGACTTATGACTACAGAACCATAAAGGTTACGTTTGGCACAGACTATGGATGCTGTTTTGTGGATCTGGGAAAAACCAGGTGACCTTGTCGACTGTGCATGTGTTTGTTCAATGTCTCAAAGATTGTTTGACTTGAGTGTACTCCACAACTGCAAATATTCTCCTTCACTAATAATGTAAAACAAATCTATTTTATATAAATCTCTGTGGATGTGCTGTTCCCTAAAGGGTCATGGCCCAGGTGTCCTGTGAAATAGTGGCTCCAAAAGAAAGTCGACCAAATGAGGGAATTGTGTTCTTCAACATTGAACTGTCACCAATGGCCTCACCAACATTTGAACAGGGCAGGTGAGGAAGACTACAGAGAGTGTGTGTCTGTTGTGGATTTTCTTATCACAGACTGAAGAGTCAACAAACCCTCAACAGGAGCTTGTGTTTCTCTGCAGGCAATCAGAGTTGTCAGTGAAGCTTAACAGACAGCTTGAGAGATGTTTAAGGAACTCAAAATGTATCGACACGGAGTCACTGTGTGTGGTGTCAGGAGAGAAGGTAACACACAAACAATGTCAAATAGGAACCTTGTCCACTGTGACAGTTGTTTGTGTGTTTATGTATGAGCAGGTGTGGCAGATCAGAGTGGACGTCCACGTGCTAAATCATGATGGGAATCTGATGGACGCCTCTAGCATCGCCGCCATCACGGCTCTGTGCCACTTCAGACGCCCTGACGTCAGCACCCAGGGAGACGAGATCACAGTGGTGAGTCTGCAGCTGCTGCTCAGCAGGTGGCGTCGGTGCCTAAGAGGAATCCTGCTTATTTGTTTCTATCTATATCTCCTTTAAAAAGTTTTTGATCTTTTTGTTCACTTTTAACACATGTGTTCCTTGTTATCATAGAAGAATAGGGGATCACGGGTTTAAGAGATATTTTATGGCCCATGATCTTTGTCATAACAACAGCACATAGTGTGTGTAAACACAGTTATGTTGAATGAAACTACAGATGCATTTGTGTTTGTATTTATTGGAATCACCTTTTTAACTTGTCTCAGCCACATTCTAATTTTGTTGTATGTTTATGCTTATGTTTGTGACCCGGATATTTGTTTTTTATAATTAGTACTCTGACAAACTTGATATGAGTGAGGCTGTTATCATGTCCCACCTTGTGCTCCATCAGTACAGCCCAGAGGAGAGAGACCCCATTCCTCTCAGCGTCTACCACATGCCCATCTGTGTCAGCTTCTCCTTCTTTCAGCAGGGGTGAGTGTCCTCTTCAGCTCCAACTATCAATTTCGAGATTTGCCGAGTAAGAATAAGTTAGGAAAGTAAATGAACATGCAGATGACAAAGTTGTTTTTTTTTTATCAGAACATACCTGCTGGTGGATCCCTGTGAGCGGGAGGAGCGAGTGATGGACGGTCTGCTGATGATCGCCATGAACAAACATAGAGAAATCTGCTCCATCCAGTCCAGTGGAGGTATCATGCTGCTGAAGGAGCAGGTGGGTTGGCTCGGACTGTGAATAGTGCTACTGTACTGTTAGTGTTTGCAACAATGAAATATATCGTTAAAGTGTCCTCCACCTTGTCTCTGGTCATTGAAGGTCATGAGATGCAGTAAAATTGCCAGTGTTAAAGTGTCTGAAATCACAGAACTTGTTGGCAAAGCTCTTGAAAATGACAGAAAGGCCAGGTAAGGGATGACATTGTCCTACTGGAAACAGAGTAAGGGTTCTAGTACATGTTGATTTCACCTGTACTCATGTCATAAATGTTGGTAGGAAAGCTGGGGAGAAGTGTGGCTTTGCAGAATCACTTCCTCAGGAGCGAATCACGGCTCTGAAAACAGACAAGACTCCAGTGGAGGCGATGGACGTGACAGAAAAGGTTGATGACATCATCCAGAAGGCTGAGGTTCCCCCTCTGTCGTATCCTGAACAAACAGCAGCAGCATCATTGGCTGTTACTTTGTTTTTCTTCAGTCTTTGCACTACTGTTACTTAACTATACACACCAGGGTACCGTCTCCATCACTGCCAGTTCCAGGTGTGGGGCAGGTGGGGCAGAACACCTGGGGTCTGGATGAGGAGGAGGAGGAGGAGGAGGAGGGGGAGGAAGATAGAGACAGCAGCGGTGAAGAAGAGGAAAAAGGAACAAAGACCCAAAAGGAAAAAGATAAAGGTAGTCAAACAGCTGATCTCATTATTATTGGTGAGCTGCTCCACAGCCTCTACTACTTAAATACATCTCAGTCACCTCAAAGTCCATTTTAAATTCTCATTTTATGCCTTTAAAAACAAACAAACATAGCATTCTAATATATAAGATAAACACAGTATCCTGCCATTTAAAGGTTACACCTCAGCTGGACAAATATATGAGCAACATGCAAGAAAGTAAAGCCTGTCGTTTGTCCTATGTTGCAGATGAAGTGGTGGAATTATCTGACAGTGAAGAAGAGGAAGTGGTCATACTTCATCCAGACACATGACCAGACTCTTAATAAAGGTTACTTCTGTTTGTAATTAGCATGAAAAAAAAATATCAACGACAAATCACGTCACATCGTTTTTTCCAATTCTATAGGAAACCCATGGTCCAGTATCCACCAGCAGGGGGCTGCAAAGACAGAAGGTGGCCATTGCAACCAAAAAGTTGCCTTGATATGGAACAGTGTCAGACGTGGACAATTAATTCTTACAAAATATACTTTATGTATGTCATAGTAATCCTTTTTGAAATTATGTTTAAAAATAAAAAAAGTCTGTCTGTATTGATGTTGACGTGACTTAGACATCTGTTTAAGGACATGTTACTCAACAGTTTCCCAATTAATGTCGCGTCAGGAAGGATATCCTTAAAAAATCAGATCCAAATCATTGTGGTATCTGATCTATGGCTGAGTTTGGGTTATTAATGCCACAGACCACAGAGCGTGGAGCAACTCTTACTGGAGCTGCGTGTCGTGCAGCTCGTCCTGCTGATATAACAGGGTCAAGCTAAAGTTAAAACAAAGGAGAAGAAAGGTTTTGCTGACTGAACGATACTTTTGGTCCATTCGTTTCCCTTTCTACTATTAAAAGGTAAGCGGTAAACTCTTGTCCAACCATTAGAAAAGAAATAAAAAATCATGAATTTTCTCTCTGTTGTAGAACTAAACACTAACCCTAAAAGATTTAAAAAATTTTAATGGATTACTTTCAGAAACTTTTTTTCTCTTTTAATTCTTACTTAATTACTCAAAATGAATGTATACAAGATTACACGTTGTGGCTACAACAACTGTTACCCTGACTGCACAAGATACAAACATCAGGTTTTAAGTAACTCAAAACAAAACTCAAAACGGTTAATGAGGGTTTATTGTTTGGATCAGTACTGTATTCTTAAGTGGTATAATATTAACACTTATCAAGTCGTCAATATTGAGGACTTGATAAGTGGTAAACGTAGCAAGCAAAACATTTTTGCCTTGTATGTTGCAGGTACTCCGAGTAAAGGAGTAGAACGAAAAGTCAGGTTCCACCGAGATTTGAACTCGGATCGCTGGATTCAGAGTCCAGAGTGCTAACCATTACACCATGGAACCGTTGGACTCCCAAAATTGTAAACAATATATTTCTACAACGTTTTATGTTCTGGTTTCTACTTTTAATAGCGGGTTTATAGACATACAATTTATACATTTGTGATGTTTTTTTTTTTCAGGAAAGCTCGCAAGGACAATTACAAATTCAAAGGCAGACCTACTTCTGCTGAAACTGTGTTACCGTGCTGACCCCTAGTGGTTACAAATGAGCACTGCAGCCTGTGTCAACGGAAAACACTGACGTGCAGTAACTTTGTACTTTGTAAGGCACTGATACTGAGACATCAGACATACAAATACAAACATTTATCTTTATTGTCATATTGATACTTTTATTACTGTCAAATACAACAATAATAGTGTTTTATGTTATTCAAATTCAAGATTAGCTAACGATAATATAGTAGATGATAATAAATTCAAAACAAACCAACCTCACAGGTGCTGAGGCCAGATGAAGTGGCGCACGCTGTGCGCGTCTGCACAACGTTTGTACACACTTGTGACGTCAGGTATCAAATGGCCGGGAGGAATTCGGGCTATGATTCTCGTTAAAACTCCGAAAAAATGTGGCAAGAACTTGTGCCTCACAATAACAACACCGATACGTAATTTACTGCGAAATTTAGCGATTTAGTCCCCAAACACATGGTTAAATAAGTACGGAAATGTTCTTAGTCGTCATCATTACAGAAGACTAGATTCCTACATACTGCGCATATGCAGACCACATCCAGGAAGACAATTGCGTAACAAATCTCTCGGCGGGGGATGTTAAACAAAATGAAATGAATTTAGTTCTGACCCTCAGTAGAACAACGTTACCCAGTGCTGTCAGTACGTCTGTCTGTCGGTGGTGGTGGCGGGAAGAGTGATGGTACTGTTCAATAACGTGAGTATTCAACATTCAAAACTTTTCTTAAGCCGTGAGATATGTGTAAAAAGAAAAATATTTGCCGTATTTGTTGTGCACTAGACTACAAACAAACAAAGAAATAAAGATGAAATCAACATAAAACGGCAGAAAAGACAGAAAAAGATAAAAGTACTTTGGTTTTAAAGTTATGAAAAGAAACAATAATATCTTTATATAGTATAAACACAATGACAAAAAGTCATCCAACAGAATGAATACCAAATATCAAACTTTATTTATGGGCCTTTCATTTGTCCTTTCTGTCCGTGTAACAGTGATCCATTTACTTCTCCTTACAGTCAGCTATTCGGATGGATTTACTGTGGTACCCCCGCTCCCCAAAATTAAATATATCTGATTTAATCTGTGCATTTTCTGGTCAAATTTAGTGCAATATTTTTTACCATTTTACCATATTTTTACCATATTGCTTTGGTTATTAATTCTAGTTATTTATTCTATTTATTTATTGTGGTTATTTTGAGCTGTGTTTTTCCAAATGTAATCAATATAGTACCATGGTGAAGAACATTTAATTTACTTGCTGCATATTTAGATTGATAGATGTATTGATCCAAAAGAAATGGGAAATTCAATGCTCTACATACTTGTCATTATGCACATCTCATTCTAGCTTACATTTTTGTTTTTTGTAATAAATAAATAAACAAACAAACAAATAAATACATAAACAGCTCTAACACCAAATCCCCCATGAGGATCAATGAAGTATTTCTGATTCTAATTACTTATGATCTACCATCTGTTTCTGTCAATCCTGCTCCAGTCCGGATCCACTCCGGGGTTTGCAGACAGCCATGAGCAGTCTTGGTGTTGGTGTGTGATCTCCACTGTACATGTTTTCTCCTTCACCTCCTCTCTTTCCTCACTTCTATCTCACCCAACACTTTACACACACACACACCCCATTCTCTCTCTCTCTCTCTCTCACGCACACATTGAGTTGGTCAGTCCTTCGTCAGCTCAAAACTAAAGCGAAACTGTTATTATCTAAAGTTATTAATAATATTTCTACTCGTGCAATTCTACACCAGACGGAGTTTACATGTTGTTATTAGCATGTTAGCAACATTCTCTATACATGGTTCACACACCTATTGTACTGTTGCAACAATAACGTGTATCAAAAAATCATGCTCTCTCTGCCTGGCACGGGACAACTTACCATGGTTTAAGTTTTGTTTTTAATAAAACTTGACTAACTTTTTTTTTTTTCATTGGGCTAACGTTAGCCATTTGAAGCTCAATCTCAAGGTTAGCTTTTAAATATTGTCCAGATATTGCAGCAACACTTAAAGAAACTCAGTTCTAATTTGAATTTAAGATGCATATCATCTATAAACTTTTTTTTATGTTACAGCTAACATTACAGTTTCTTTTATATTTTTTCTAAAGCTTTTAGCTACAACTTATCTGATCCTTCTGATTGGTTTGTACTGTTCAATCCCCGCAGGTGAAACAATGCTTTTTAACATTTGACAAAGGATTGTATTTCAGCTTAAAGACAAATAATAAAGTGTGTTAAAGCTGCAGAGACTGATTGCTCTCTGTTTTTCTGTTTATGAAGCCGTACTTTATTGTTTTCTTCATGTCAGGTCAGCGTGACACAGCAAGAAAGTACCAAATAACAGTGATTAAGGGATCTTTAGACAGCACTTGGTACAACTCTGTGTGTGTGTGTGTGTGTCTGTGGTTTGAGTTAATGACATCAGTCAGTGCCTCGTGTGTTCCTCCAGCTGACCTCTCTGGTCCTGGGAAGTTTTGATTGTGTCGCAGTGCCATAAACACTGCAGTGAGGTCATGGACACTTTTATCATAATGTGGTTTGAGCTGTCAGTCAACACTGCTCTGTAGCAGCATCCTTCATCTGCTCTGAAGAAGGAGCAACCAGATTTGAATCTTGTAGACTTTTACCTCTAAATCAATAGACAGACCCCTTCAGTACCTCTGAAGACCCCCTAAAGCCACTGAGCCCTTGGTAAATATTGCATGGTGCAGTATTTGTGTCAGAACAACATAGTGCTGCTGGACTTTGGGCTCAATGTATTTACCTAAAGGGTATTAAGACGATAAATAATATAATAATGAATAATATCAGAGCAGTGAATTTATGACCTATAGGAAACACCTGTGTTTTATATCGATGAACAGATGTGTTTAATGGTAGAATTTGACAGGTGTGTGTGTGCGCGCACGTGCAGGGGCATGTGTGTATTTCTGTGTGCATGTGTATCAGCCAATGTCTCCAAAACCACAAGTCCCTGTCAGCACCACAGATTTGTCACTCTGTGTCTGACTAATGTTCAAATATTACCTGTGTGTGTGTGTGTGTGTGATGTTCAAATATTACCTGTGTTTGTGTGTGTGTGTGTGTGTGTGTGTGTGTGCAGTGTTTGCCAACATGTAAGTGCATGCAGGTTGAAGGTGTATGTGTGTACATACACAGTCAGCTGTGTTTGCTGTGTGTGAATGTGTTTTTATTTACGACATGAAGTACTTGACGGCTGATTTGGACAAATGTCCACAGAGCGTTCACTTCCTGTTGTATCTTTGTTGTTAAAGATCTCTACTGTGACAAATCATGTCTTTGACCATTTTTGTTGTGATTTAGTCCAGGTTGAACATGTGATTTATACCAATGTGACTTCTTTAACCCATTTTGTAGTGTTTTTGTCAAGTACAAGTATTTATAACGTCTTCATCATAAACTGTATGTAATATTGATAGTATCTACAGAGTTTTTCTTTGCCCTAGAGTATTTCTCATAAACCTTCTTGATTTCAAAGGTAAAAAGTCACCTGTGTTTGTAGGTAAGAAACTCAGTGTGGTTTCAGTGGCCATACAGATGGATGGGAGTCCTGTTGTTAGCTGTACCCCCCCACAGTCTCTGTCTCACCTTTGACATGTTGTCATCATTCAAACCTCTGACTAAAACTAAACTAAAGCTTCTCCTCTGACGTCGTCCTTTTCAGCAGGAGTCAGGCTTCACAACAACCTGCTGCACCAATCAAAACAATGACCAGCCTCCTGTTACAGCCTTCACCCAGACTGCGGTCACCTCCTGCCCCCTTCTTCTTCCTCATCTTCATCTTCCTCCCCTCGTCATCATCCTCCTCCTCCTCCTCCTGCTCCTCTCTCTGTGCCTGAGGTTTTAAACTGTCTCAGCTCCTCACACTAAGAAGCAATCACTGTGATAATGTGTGTGTGTAACAATGGCATCCCCGTATCAGTCTCTGCACCAGGTCAAAGTC